TGTTTGGAGTCCTATATGCCTCACTTATCTGTATGTCAAGTTCTTTTCCCCTGCTTGGGAAGTTTTCTGCCATCACTTCCGTGAACAGTTCTTTTATGTCATCTGCACTCTCTCCTGTTTCTTCATTGACTCCAATCAGTCTTGTTATTTTTCTTTGCATCATCTAGCAGCTGCTGGATTGATTTCTTGTGGTCCCTTAAAATTTTAAAGAATTTTTTCTTTTCCTTGTCACTAATTGCAATCTTATCTACTGTATCTGAAATTCTGTCTTCACATTGGCTCATTCTGCTGCATAGACTTTCAATGGAGTTCTTAATCTCCTAGAAATCTGTTTGCATCTGTTTTATGGATTCAATTTGTTTCCTATGTAGCCATTCCATCATGTTCCTCAGCTCCTCTACTTTTTTATCTGTATCCTCTATAGATTTATTAATCATGTCTTCCCCTTATGGGCACAATATTTGCTGTTATGTGAGAAATTATTTCTGATTTCATTTTTTCCAGATCCTCTTTCATTGCTAGTTCATGGAGTCCAGGTGGTTGAGTATCAGAGTGTTCCATCTTGTTTCCCTTTGGGGTTGCTGTAGGTGATCTGGAAGTCTTGTTCTGAGGCTTGTTTACCTGTCTTTTCATTTTGATGTGGGGGGGGGGCGGTGTTCCTGGTGCCAGTGCAGCTCACCTCCTCTGTGCTGGGAGGCACAGCACGCCTACGTGGAAGCCTCCTCTACACTTGGAGCCATGACACACCTACCCAGAAGCCTCCTCCTCCTCCTGCCTGGGAGCCGTGGCATGCCGACCTGGAAGTCTCCTCTGGGCTGGGAGCCATGACACACCAACCTGGAGGCCTCCTCTGTGCTCAGAGCCAGGGCACGCCTACCTGGAAGTCTCCTCCTGCCTGGGAGCCATGGCACACTGACCCGGAAGTCTCCTCTGGGCTGGGAGCCGTAGCATGCTGACCCGGAAGCCTCCTCCTGCCTGGGAGCCATGGCATGCTGACCCGGAGGCCTTCTCTGTGCTGGGAGCCATGGCACGCCTACCTGGAAACCTCCTCCTGTCTGGGAGCTGTGGCGCGCTGACCTGGAAGTCCAATACTCTATATAGAAGACCCCAAGAACTCCACCAAAAGTCTTCTACACTTAATAACCAAATTCAGTCAAGTAGCTGGATACAAGGTCAACACACAAAAATCAATAGCTTTCCTGTACACAAACAACAGATTCACTGAGATAGAAATAGGGCAAACAATTCCTTTCACAATAGCATCCAAAAAATTGAAATACCTAGGAATTAACCTAATGAAAGAAATCAAAGACCTCTACTCTGAAAACTATAGCACTCTGGAAAAAAGAGATTGAAGATGATATCAGAAATGGAAAGACATCTCTTGTTCCTGGATAGGAAGAATCAACATAGTGAAAATGGCCATACTTCCAAAACTGCTATATAGATTCAATGCAATCCCAATTGAAATTCCAGCAGCATAATTCACAGACCTT